ATGAACAATTAGATGTATCTTTTAAGATTTGTAACTCCCAATTAATTATTGGGGGTTACAAAAAGATTGAATTATCAAATTACCCTTATCATTAATTTTTAAATTAGATTTGAACCTAAAGTGAAGAAAGAATGTGATTGGTCAAGATCGGTTTCCATAGTTTGTACCATATGGTTGGTTTCTATTTGAACCAACCTATATATATATATATATATATATATATATATATATGGGCTTCGGTGAGGAATAGAGTTAAGGTGAAAAGCGTAAGAAATGATCTCCACCATTGGATGCACATTAGGATGAGATACATTAAGATGCACCAGATCAATCTTGTATCAAACGTGAGTCATGGGTGAGTTTGAGATTAAAGGTAATCAAGGGTCCAGATCCTTTCTTACACTTCTCACCTTAACTTTACTTTTCACATGATCATTCGCTTTTACACATATGTGTGTGTATGTGTGTGTGCGCATGTGCTTTTTGTCCCAAAGGTCAACCATAAACATATGTTAAAGCGTAAATATTGTCAAGGGATGAATACAATATTTTTAATAGTTAAAAAAAATATCATAAACTTTCAGTGTAAAGATTTACAATGTCTAGCTACGAAAATTAATTTCTTAAGCCAAGTTTCGTTATACAATTCTAAGCTAAACAGAAGCTACAAATTTCAAAAAATGTTGGTTCGAACTTTAGGACTTAAAATTTTATAAGAGATATTTTGACTGTGATTACACTCATTACCTCATCGATAACTACAAAAAAGACTATTCAATCGTGTACACACATATATATATATATATACACAAAAGTAAATGCAATGGAAAAGGACACTAGAAAAAACAAAACAAATGTCACCCCTTTTCCAAATACATTATTAATTAATGTGTTTATTGCAAGTGAATGCAAAGAGACAACTACCATATACACATCATTCTTCCATATCTCATCATTTTCATCAGAATCCAAATATGAATTTAATTGATTGGGGTCGGTGATTCAAAGCTGGCTTCTTTTGATATTTTATCAAACACTTGGTGGGCATTTTATGTGTATTTCTGTCGTCATCCAATTGGCTCTCTCTCCTACATCCATGGCCTCAACTTGATTCCTAGTTGGGTCTTAACCGGATCCCGTTGAAGGGTTTTAAAAACAAAGTCTCCTTCGTTTATCGAAAATCTATAATCGATAGCATCTGATCTAACCACTTACATAACTGGTCCTTGGCCTTCTTTTTTTTTTTTTTTCTTTTCAAAATTCATTTATTTTATAATCTTCTACCATAAAATACGTTTTAATTTACCAAATTCTCATACATTTGAGTTTCAACCACTAAAATAAACTTTAGAATATAATTTTTAGAGAAATGTTCACTTGAGAAGTGGTAGATATTTGGGAAATAAAGAAACATTTTTATCTAGTCAATATTTGTGGCTTTAACCGTGAATCACCAGATAATTCCTTGCATGGGTATGCGGAAGATGGAGGATAGTTTCGTAACTTTTACAAATAAGCGGAAAACGGGTTCATAAGTGAACTCATGTGATTCATATATAAACTATATGTCCATATGTGAATCCGTTAATTAGTTCATATATGGACTATTTAACAGATTCATATGTAAATCAGTTAACTACTTCATATGTGAATCACACGAGTTCGCGTATGAATTAGTTAATAAGTGAATCACAAGAGTTTATATGTGAATCAATTAAAATAATGCATATGTGAATCACATAGGTTCATATATGAACCCGTTTGTCTTCTATTTGTAAAAGTTACAAAACTATCCCCTTTATTTTTCACATAGCCGCAATTTTTAACCAATCAAAGACGCAATTATTGACCACTCAAATAAGATCTTGACCGTAAAAATGGTTAGGATCACTTATTACTTCTCAAATATTTTACCACTTCTTATAATAGCCTTTGAAGAAGTCTTTATTATTATATGTATAGTCATATATTACATCACATATGGTAAACAACATAACATATTAATTTGTTTACCAAAGATGTGCATGAGACATACAAATAGCCTCACAAACCATTACACTTGTTTGTCTAGCTATTATATTACAAAAAGGGTATCTGCCTCTAGATACACTAATTATGTATGTATATATTCTTCATGATAGTTTGTTTCTTTTAATCATGAGTGATGAGATCGGCTTTTCTCGTACCTCGATTAATTTTATAGGACCCTAAAGATAACAGTCAGGACCCTGAAGATAAACAGCCAGAAAATCCCTTTTGGCCTTGAGGAGACTCAAACTAACGGCCAATAAGGAGAAGCCCTAATGACGTTACAGTAGTACATTCGTGGAAAAGCTTTTGTCTCTCTCCTTTTTCCCATCGTCGTCTTTACTCACGATTATGCCTACTAATTTACATGGTTGAGCTTCCTCTAACATCTTAACCACTGCTCTCATCGTCGGCCTGAGGGCCGGTAGCCTACTCGTGCACATAATCGCGATCTTCAACACCTTGATTGTTTCCTCCTTAAAACCTTCGTGGATGCTCGAATCCACGAGGCTTAACACGCTTTCTTTTGTTTTCAGTTTACTGCATACCCAATAAACAATGTCCTTATTTTCTCCGAATTCGGCCTCCATCGGCTTTTTGCCTGTCACAAGCTCCATTAACACCACCCCGAAGCTATACACGTCGCTCTTTTCGTTCACTTTGTATGTGTACCCGTATTCTGTACAATAAACATGCCAAATCTCATTAGTAATTATCTATGTAACGATGTAAAAAACGACACCATAACTGGCGTGGAGTAGATCCAAGAACCAACAGATGCTTTCATAGACTAGTAGTGGGATAAAGGGGTTACCCGGAGCCATGTAACCGTGTGTTCCGGCAATGACATGAGTCGAGCCACCAGTGCTATCGGTCTGAACCACCTTTGCAAGCCCAAAATCAGCAATTCTTGGCTTCAAATGCTCGTCCAAGAGTATGTTACTAGACTTAACATCTCTATGAATCACTGGTCTTTCACATCCATGATGCAAATACTCCAAACCTTTTGCAGCTCCAACCGCTATTTCGTACCTTGCGTACCAATCGAGCCCGAGTTTCTTACTCGAATGCAACCGATCCCACAAACTCCCGTTCGGCAAATACTCGTATACCAACAAGCTCGAGTCTTCGCTAGTGATACTACAGTATAATTTCACCACGTTTACATGCCTTATCGAGCTCAACGTTTCCACCTCCGCGGCAAACTCCGATGACTTTTGGCCGCCGAATTGCTTTCCTAGCATCGGTGTTTGACTTCCTGACTTTTTCCGGCAACAAGAATCGGAATTCCATATGTGTTTTACGGCCACTTCGACCCCATTTTTGAGCGAGACTCGGTAGACTTCTCCGGACCCACCTTTCCCAATCATATTCTCTTCTTTGATTGAATCAATAATGTCATCTTCGATGAAGCTCAAGACATGGAACGATTTCACATTCCATGAATCATCTTTCAACGAACGGGATTGATGATCTTTTCGACTCTCGTTCTTCACGTAACAGTAGTATGCAAGCAAGACGAGAACGACAGCTGATCCAATTGAGAAGCAAGTGATTAGTGTCCCAATTTGCCGTGATACTCCACCGGAATCTGAAGAACATGGCCGGAAATACTTCACTTTTTGGCTGCAAAGGCCAGGATTTCCGGCAAAGCTTCCATTGTATGCCTCAATAGAAAGAGATTCAGGGATTGCACCGGCCAATCTGTTGTGGGATAGGTCGAAAAGACTTAGCCTCAGAGAGGACAGACTAATGGGAATTTGACCGGAAAGTTGATTCGAGGACAGATTTAATGAGTTAAGCGTCGGTAACCACCCTAAAGCGGCCGGGATTTGGCCGGAAAGCGAATTATAAGCCATGTTTATGTCACTGAGAGAACCACAAGAGCGTAGCGATTTGGGTATTTCGCCGGTGAACTTGTTATTATCTAAATGAAGCCTGCCCAGTTGGCTTAATTCTCCAATTGTAGCCGGGATTTTACCGGAAAATTGGTTGTGACTTAAATCGATCATATTCAAGGATGTAGCCTTTGAAATCTCCGGTGGTAATTCGCCGGATAATCGATTGTGGGCAGCAAATATCTGCCCCAAGGTTTTTGCATTCTCTATATCCGACGTAATACTCCCCTCTAAATTGTTCATCTCAATGTCAATAATCTCAGCACTCGGAAGCCCCCATATTCCACTGGGTACAACGCCGGAAAGCATGTTGTTGCTCACACGAAACCGGGTTAGCGTCTTACAGTCAGCATAACTTGACGGGATCTCGCCGGAGAAATTGTTCTGAAGCATCAGGAGCTCCGTCATCTTCCCGTTCTTACACATATCGGGAGGAATCGGTCCGGTGAGGTAATTTTCGGATACGTCAATGAAGTTGAAGTCAGACCAGGAACCGAGATTCTGAGGAAGTGTTCCGGTGAGCTGGTTCCGGTACAATGACAAGTTCATCAGTTGCTTGAACTCTCCTATCTCCGGCGGAAACTTACCGGAGAACTGGTTTTCAAACAACTGTAAGCTTTTAAGCTGACTAAGAAACCTTATCTCAGAAAGATCACCTTCGAGATAGTTGGTGGAAGCATCAAAGAACTGGAGGTTCGTTAAGTTACGAAATCCAACAGGAAGTTTTCCGGTCAGGTTGTTAGCGAAAAGCTCAAGCTGCCATAACTTCCCTAGCTTGTTGATTTCATGTGGAATCTCTCCGGTGATGTAATTGCTTGAAAGCTCGAAATTAATAAGCTCCGTAAGACCCCCAATACCTGCTGGAATCTCACCTCCAATGCTGCAATTCGCCATGTACAACCAATTCAATTTAAGCAGCTTCAAAACTTGATTTGGGAACGGAGTTTGATCAAAGGGATTGTCCCCTACACTCAGCACGATCAAGTCCATCATGTTCTCCAATGAATCCCACGGGAAAGTTCCTGAGAATTCACAATTTCATAACAAACTAAAAATCAATAAAAAAATTAATTGCAACATAAATATCCAGAGCAATAATTTATCATCCATTTCCGCAAATTCGCTCAATTCATAACAAACTAAAAAACCAGTAGCAAATTTAATTGCAACATTAATTTGCAGAACAAAAATTTATCATCCATTTCTGCAAATTCGTTAACTAATTCATAACAAGTAAGAAAAATGTGTAGAACGATAATTAAGTTACCATCCATTCAGCAAATTCGTTAACCACTTCGAAAACACAACAAAATTACCAACCATTTCTATCAAAGTAAAGAAGAAAACACAAGTACCTGAAAATCCGCTGGAATTCACGTAGAGATACAACAATCCTTTCATGGAAGATATATCAGGGATAACACCGGAGAAGAAATTGTTTCCGAGATCAAGATAACTCAACTTGGAGCATTTGTTGAGGTCTTCTGTTACGCTTCCGTGCAAATAATTAAAACCTAAAGAAAGCTTTTCCAACGATTGTAGTTGACATACGGAATCGAAAGGAATCGAACCTCTAAGATTCTGTCTCGAGAGCTCGATTTCTCTGACAAACGATCCAGTATCATCACAAGTGATTCCAGTAAAGTTACAAACCGAATCAGTGGATCTCCATGAATCAAAAACGCTCGTGTTTGATTCCGCCAAGCTAGTTTTCAGATTCAATAGGTGTTGAAGTTCATCAGACTTAGCACAAGAGATAAATCCGATGAAGAGAAGCATGAATAAGTGATTTCTCCGGACGGCGGTCGCCGGCGACATGGTAGCGAGATGCGGAGGATATATATATATATTTTTTATTTTTTTTTTCGTCGTCGTTTGGAAACCGACTTTGGAAATGGGCGTATTTAAGATATGGGTGGTGTTCAAATGGATGAGGATAACGGCGTTGGCAACATGTAGTTAACGGACGTTAGTTACAGCGTTATAAGTTGGTTAAAACAGTTGCGAAAAAAGATTTACAGAAACTGTATCTATAATTGGTTGTTCTTTATAGTATTTTCCACTTCTAGAATCTTTAATTTATTTGTTCTAGAAGAATATATTTAATTAAGACACTATCATATGATCACTTTTTCACTTATTTGTTTGACCCTTTTTATTTGTTATTTTTAATTCAATTAATTGGCCTAAAAAATATAATATTTTTAATAAATAATATTTGAGTAAAAAGTTGATTACTGATACTAATCTTAATTGGTTTTATAGAGGTTTCACCTCTAAAGAGATCAGTAAAAGGTAGATTTTTTTGGCTTACTAAGCAGTAGAGATGAGTGGCAGACGGGATCGAACTGGAACCTGTCTTGTATTTGGGTCGCCCCATGTTCACTTTTTTTTAAGGGTTAAATGCATGAAATAGCAATTTACTTTCATAAATTTTCTTATTATAATATTCTACTTTTGTTTTTCTTTATTACAGTAATATACTTTCAAATTATTTTTTATTAAGTCATCGCACTTTAAAAAACTTACTCATTATAGCAATAGGTAATTTGTTACCTTTTAAACCGCTTAACCCCTTGACTTTTTTTTGCTTGTGTGGCTTTAATGAGGTGATGTGGACGACACATCATTTTGATGCTTTAATTAAAATAAAAATAAAAACCTATTTCAAATTATTATTATTGATTTTCGTTTTTCATTATTATGATTTAAAAAAAAACATTTAATTTTTTTTTACTTTTTCTTATTAAGTTGCATTCAAATTAAGTATTATACAATAAGATATTTCTTGAATAAATATGCTACCTTATTTTCGAGATATTTTTTTTTGTAAAAAAAAGTAACACTTCTTATTTGATGTTGTTCAAAAAAATACATATATTTTAAAGTTCTCTCTAAAATGTTAACGAAATAAATTTTGTTCTATAACTTTTTAATATTGTTATATCAATAAATAATTCAAAAAAATCTAATTAATTTAATGTATTTATATGTCAAGTAAAAGTTTTTGAACAAATATAATATATTCTTTAAAAGATAATATTTTTTCGGTAAAAAAGGAACAATTCTTATTTTCTTTTGTTCAAAAAACACATATTTTTTAAAAAATATTAACGAGATAAGTTGTCGTCTACTAGTTTTATTAATATTGGTATATTATTAAATAACATGTAAAATATATAAATATTAAAATTAAAAGTACATTGTTTAATAAGAACTAGTAAATGTTATAATAAAATAATTTTGAAAATACAATGTTGTTATAAGAAAACTACATCACTATAGTACATGTGGACAGCCTACATGGACAATGAGGTGACATGAAAACTTGATAAAATATGTAAATTTAAATCAAAAGGTTACCTAATGTTATAATGAGTAAATTTTCAAAGTACAATATTCTAATAAAAAATAGTTTGAAAAAACATTGTTGTAATAAGAAAAACTAGAAGTACAATGCTATAATAAAAAAATTTATGAAAGTAGATTGTTATTTTGTACATTTTGCCCTTTTTTTGATAATTAATATTTTGTTCTTTTTTTTCTATACCGTAACAAAAATAGATTTATATGATGACAAAAAATCTAAATTTCCTAATAAACTGATTTATAGAACTTAAGTTACGAGATTAAACGATAAATCATTTTATCTAAGAGTGTTGCAATAAGTTTATAGGACATTTGTTAAGAGTTATAACAAGTTTTTTAAAACATCTTTTAAAATAAAATGTCATATTAGCTGTTTTATAAGACAATAATACAAAAGATGTTCTATAAAAAACAAGCATCCAATAGAAAGATGTGTTTATATAACATTTCTCAAAAATATCTGTATAAAATAGGTAATGTGATGGTTTATTTTAAAAAATATCTTTGCTTTTCATTTTCTGCTTACCACTAGGGCTTCCAAATTCATACGCTCGTCCAGGCCTGCCGACACAATAATGGAATGATTGAGCGGTTCCCTTTACGGTTCAGGAATTCATGGTTCTTTGAGTAAAGCCAAAGCCTTTAGCGACTAGCCAGACCTTTTCCTATCAGTGTTTTAACAAATCCCTCTCTGGCGTCATGGTTAACACATGCAAGTCGAACGTTGTTTTATCAGAGAGATTTTAGATTCTAAAGTGACTCAGTTGGGTTCAATTCCCTGCCGTTGGAATGGTGTGTTCGTCTCCGCCTGTTCGAAAAAAAGTTACTAATACGACCAAATTGGGCATCCATATGTTAGTTTTTAGGAGGTTTTTCAATATAGAGGCAGCTTTTTCGTTGAAGTTCTTTAGTCATACTCCGTAACTGTAGGACCTACTTTTTTAAATGTGTTTTGTATTTAACCAGTTTTTACTTTGTATAATTTTACAAAAGTTTTGCATGTTAATCAATTTTATTAATATAATTAATAAATACTGTAAATTAAGTCATAATTAAAGTAATTATATTTTGTTGTTGTTGTTGTTGATCATCTTCATCTCTTTGTGATATAAGGTGAATTTTTACCGTCAAAAACATCATTTAACATGTTTTTAGTGAAGAAACCGTAGGGTTTCATACATGGGCGTTGAATATGTTATATGCTATTTTTAGCATAATTTTTTGTTTTGATATGTGATTATCAACTAGTTGAAATAAGGGTGACATAACCAGGTGTATTTCGCGATAATTGTGACATAATTAGGAGAGACGTATTTTGGGATAAGAATGACATAATCAGAAGAGATGTATACTGGGATAAGGGTGACAAAGTCAATTATATGTAAAAATATGATTTTGATCATATGGAAACTGTTATTGCATTTCTAATGATGCGATGAGTGTGGGTTATCGCATCTTTATGATGCAAATGAATTGGTTTTATCGCATCCTTATAATGTGAGTAAAAATGTCATTGCATCAATGTGATGCGATGAATGAAGTTATCACATCGTGTGATGTGACAAGGTGGGATTATCACATCAGTACGATGCGACAAAACGAGGTAATCGCATCTATGTGATGCGAGGAAATGAAATATCGCATCTATATGATGCGATAAAAATATGAAAGCATGAATGAGATGCAACAAGTTGGTATCTTTTATGTTTAACGCGAAAACTTTGGTACTTCATGGGTTGTTGCGATAAAGAATGAGGTTGTCTCATCTATATAATGCGACAAAGAGGTTTGTTTCAATAAAACACTGTTTATTTGTTATCAATACGAATATAAGCTTTCTAAAAGTGTTTTGTGATTTTCACCCTGTAATAACAATAAAAAAGGGATTTATCACTAAACCTTATGGTCTAACCCTCGTTTTGTTTTAAAATATGCATTATAGGTCGAACACATATGGAGAGTAAAGGAAAGGGAAAGATATGAAGATATTATGATTGCTTTACATATATGGATTTTTGGAAACTGTTATATTACATGTACTTGAAAACTTGATGTGTTTACAAATCCAGTACTTGGTATAAATGAAAATTTTGTAGCTACTTTTTTAGGTAGCATGATGTATATATTGGGACCTATGTGTAAATTGGTACTTTATGTTAAATGAAATATGTGGTAGCATGATGTATTTATACTATATTATAAAGCACTTGATAAAAACTTTTGAAAACCATTTTTTGTGCTTGAAGTACTGTTTATTGATGCATATTACTTAAAATTCAAGGTTACAAACAAATTGTGTGTAAGTACAACTTATTAAAGCTTCATATTTGAATTCGTGTAACTAACTGCAGATAATCATAGTCATATACAAGATAAACATTCCATTTTAAATATAAAAAATATAAAATATAATTAGGATAATCATTGAGTTCTAACAGAATACTTAATTATTATTCTTATAAAAAATTATCTATTATTAAATCAAAATTAAATTCATTTGTTACTAAACCTAAATTAAATTATAATTAAAAAATTGAATTAAGGAAATTACACCAAAACACAAGAACTTTTAAAAAGATTAATTTGATACTGGTATATATATTTTTTCAAAATTCTATGATATTTTCAAATTTATATTTTATTCAAAAATAAAAACATTATCGTTTTCTCAAAACCACATAAAACTGTATTATATCGACATAAAAAAGAAATAAAACGAAACACTGAAATCAAGATGTGCATCGATGCATTGCACGAGTACCCTTCTAATGTATATATATATATATATATATATACACACACACACACAAAGTGGTTAGATCGTTGGATGCAAAATATTGCATTTACTAACATGGACTATGAAAATAGGGATGTCTATTCAATTTTGATCTATTATTAGACATTGATCAAAAACATGTCTGGGATTAAATTTGCTGGAATAGTCTATGCTTTTGGTTTGTGTTATATGTCAAATATTATAGATTATGTACCTATGGTTCATTTATTACATAGACAAACACTATGGTATGCAAATCCTTACAGATTTGACCCCTTATCCCAACAGCCGTTAGTGGAAGTCGATCGCATCCCCTCACATGAGGGCATTTGATCTTTTCAGAAGATAACATTGATGGGTTTGGTTTGAATCTGGGAAAGAATCAATGGCGTGTTTTTGATGACATACAAACGTTCTTTTTTCTTTTCTTTTTTAAATTAAAATGAGTTTCAGAAAATGAAAAAAAACCAAAATCAAAACGATGCATAATTTTTGACATAGTTTAATGCTTAATATTGCTATGGCTTATGAGAATTTGAAAAATAAAAACAAAACTAAAATGGGTGATGTAATATTGCAATGCAAAGAAAAGGAACACTAGAAAAATAACAAAAGGAAAAAATAAAGAAGATGCACCACATATTTCAATGGAAAGCTAATAAAACAAGACAATATATTATTAATAATAAAAATAATTAATATATATATATATATATATATATATATATATATATATATATATATGGGATCACATAAGACCCTT